GACTTGGCCTTCTTGGGTGCTGCAGGTTTCTTAACAGCCTTTTTCTTTTCTGTTGGCTTTTTCTCCCCGGTTGTCTTCTTGGGTTTGGTCGTTTTCTTGGGCTTGGCAGCCTTAGGTTTGGTGACTTTTTTGGTCTTGGGTTTCTTCTCCGTCTTGGGCTTCTCTCCCAGCTTGAAGGAACCACTGGCACCTGTACCCTTGGCCTGTTTGAGAACTCCCTTCTTGACTCCGTTCTTGAGGGCCATCTTCAGATGGGTGTTGACACTAGAGGCGTCATTACCGACTTTGTAGTTGCCCATGATGTACTTGAGAATAGCTTGTCTCGAGGAACCTCCGCGCTCCTTCAGGGCAGCCACAGCAGCGCTGATCATCTCGATGTACTTGGGATGGGCGGGGACCGTCTTGGGTTTGGAAACCTTCTTCTTGGCGGGGGATTTTGCTGGTGCGGCGTCTGCCATAATTTTTTTGTCCTGTTTTCTACAACTGATGTGAACGACGTTATCGACGATAAGGAAATGAATGAAATCACCTCCGCCGATGGCCTTATTTGAGTGGCGGCGAGCGCGGACCTCCGTGAAAACTCCCCAATTGTCGAGAGCGTAGAGGATTGAACTCGTCAAACTTTGTGTTTCAATACCTGTTATTTTTCCGATTTTGTCCTCCCAATTTTACTTAATTTTCTCAAATATGTCACTGTGCGTTTTCTTGAAATAATTTCCTACATAACTGTTTTGTTTAAGGTTCTTAATCTGTCATTTTAAAGGAGGAATTGTCTGTTGATTCTGAAAATGCGCTGTTCCCTGGAGCCCAGAAGCGACTAATTTTGATTAAAACACGAAAACAAGAGGAATAGAACACGAGTAAGGGATTGAAGTACTTACTACATTGCTATGTGATAAAACATACATGTACATTTCTTTCAATTGTCTTCTATGTTACTTAAAATCCGAATGAAAATGCAAACATTCGGCACAAACACGCGCACAATGGATAGTGATGTGTGCCTTGCATTTCATATGAAATGGAGAGAGAGAGAAAAAAAAACAATCAAACAAAAGGGTCATATGAAGGGAAATCACGGAATCTCACAAATTGTTGAATGTTCAAATATATATCTAATATACTTTCTAGATCAGTGGATGTTCACCCCCTTAAAGGGACAACATATAATTTCTTTTCGAATATTTAAATACATGACACCTACTTTATAATTATAACACCGAGGACACCGGAAAGATCCAGACCGTACGTAACGTACCACATTCGGTGGTACAACGTCTGAATTTCTCAGTATAATTATATCATAAGAATATACATAACTGACATCCTTGTAAATTACATGAAAAAAAAAAATCACATAAAAAGGGCGTGTATTTAATAATTGTAGAACACTCACTTAATTAGTAGTTATACATAAGAGAGAGACAGAGAGAGACGAACAAGGCGAATAATGGGAGTAGCTTATTCATTGATATTAATTTGTTTCTTGTAATTTACACACACAAATAATTGAGTACATGTAAATAAACAGAATGTGGTCAAAAGCCAATGTATTTAAAATCTATATCTTTCAAGTTGAACAAGACAACCAGTATATAATACAAGACAATACAATACATTGATAGAAGCATCAAATTGGTTGCACACTTTCCACGTGCAGATCATGATTCCCTGCATCTATATGTCACGTGACGATGCAGATGTGCTGCACGGCGCAGTGATGGACATCGCAATAAATGTAAAGTGTTGAAAAAAATGTCGTTTAGTCATTCGCATCGGTAGTCTATTCGAAAGAAAATTTACTACCAGTTTTTAATTGTGTTAGTACTGTAAGTATCCGGAAACTGGCATCGAGTTGCTTTTATTCACTCTTATTATGGGAAGCACACTTTTTTGAATAAGAACATTCAAGACATAATATAAACCACATCTTCTTATTCTTATGAGATTCTTATATTCATAACTTTTATCTATTTTTATCAATTAGGAATTTTGTCTAAATAATCATCATATAAAACAATAGCGAGGGGGAAAAAAAAGAAACATTAAGGATTTAACTGGAGTTACAGATCTTTTGAATATGTTAATAAAATAATGATCATATTTAAAAATATTTGTATCAAAGGAAAAAAATTGAAAGTTAGATCGCCATGTTAGATGATTTTCGCAGTTTCTAGTCTTAATTGGTCAATGAAATGGGTTTTTTTTTTTCTTATCTCTTTGTTGAGTGAGCATTCAAGTAATACGTGAGAATTCAACATTTGTACGCAGGCCTATAAGGTTTGGATTCAACTGCCTATAACGAGAAAGAAAAAAACGTACATATACGAATATACATGCGAGTCAATTTTAAAATTTATTGCTTTTGTTATTAACTTAATACATTTATTTATCATTAAATATATAACACTTTCTTTGATGTTTGATCTCTGTTCTGTGTTGAAAATTATTGAATTCGTGTGTTTCTATTATTTTCTAGCTATAATAATTGTTTACGTTTCAACTCGTTTGTAATGTAGGTATCTTTTCGAAAAGCTTATGTGGCCGTGAAAACGGCCGTTTGGTTTTGTGCTGCACACAACACAACTATAGGATCTTTTTACTTGGCGGCTTTCTGTGTCTTTTTGGGAAGGAGCACCGCTTGGATGTTGGGCAGGACACCACCCTGCGCGATGGTCACGCCGGACAGGAGTTTGTTCAATTCTTCGTCGTTGCGGATGGCCAGCTGCAGATGACGGGGAATGATTCTGGTCTTTTTGTTGTCGCGGGCAGCGTTGCCTGCCAACTCCAAGACTTCTGCGGCCAAGTACTCAAGAACGGCAGCCAAGTACACGGGAGCGCCTGCTCCCACTCTCTCGGCGTAGTTGCCCTTTCTCAGCAGACGGTGAATACGACCCACGGGGAACTGCAGTCCGGCGCGGGAAGAACGGCTCTTGGCCTTCCCCTTCACTTTGCCTCCTTTGCCACGTCCAGACATTCTTAACGGTTATGTTCTTTCGTGTACAGTCAACGAATAATCCAGCGACGCCCGCACGCACCAATTTAAACAACCAAGCGGATCCAACGGTGCAGCCAATTAACGCGTCGCTCTGTTGTGCCTTTAGGTGAAATCCGAACAAGTAATGTTTTCTCGGAGGTCCGTAACAAGCTTCTCCTCCTACTCGCATATAAATAGTAAATTTTACCATTTTACTTTATTCATCTCTTCAGTTTGACCTGTCAACTTGAGATCATGCCACCCAAAGTCGGATCCAAAGGCGCCAAGAAAGCAGTCACCAAGGCCAAGACACCGAGGAGCACAGACAAGAAAAGGAGGAAGAGGAGGAGGGAATCTTATGCCATTTACATCTACAAAGTCCTAAAGCAGGTGCACCCTGACACTGGTGTTTCCAGCAAGGCCATGAGCATAATGAACTCCTTCGTCAACGATATCTTTGAGAGAATCGCTGCCGAAGCCTCTCGTTTGGCCCACTACAACAAGCGATCTACAATCACAAGCAGAGAGGTCCAGACTGCTGTCCGTCTCCTTCTGCCCGGTGAACTGGCCAAGCACGCCGTATCTGAGGGCACCAAAGCCGTCACCAAGTACACCAGCAGCAAATAATCTCATTTTGCAAGTACACACACCAAACGGCCCTTTTAAGGGCCAACTAATTTTTAAGAAAAGATACCTTCATATTACATGCGTTATTGAGACACAAATAATATGTGTGAGTGTTACAATGTGAATGCATGTGCTCGTAAAAGTGGCAAACGTATAAAAATCCCACATTGTTTACAACTGATTATAATAACAGAAGTAGGATAAATAAAGAAATACAAGTAGGTATTATTATATGTATGAGAGCCAAATTTTATTCACAAATAACTTGAATGTACAACCAAGCATATATCTAAAATAACTGTATCTTCAAATATAAATAAAATACAAGCATGCGAGGTCCATCTGATGTACACAAAATCCTGGTTCATTTGTCCTCTGTATACTGAATTAATTATCAGCGTACATTATATAATTGATAATAAAGTATCTCAATTCAGCTAATATCAATGAAACAGATAAATAAATTCAAGACCCCCCCCCCTCCCCTTTCTTTGACATTGACATATTGGAATTTTCAATCAGTAATTATACATCAATAAAAGTGCAATGACCAAAATGCGATAATTATACATTGACAATTAATTGTCTAACATTAGTCATAATTGTTAAACAAGAAAAAAAAAGCATGTCACTCAGCGCCAGTTGGTACCTGTCATTGTCGGTAGATCGATCCCTCAAAATAATACTCAAGACAGCAGCATTATTATTTTAATATATGATTATAATAATAAAAAAAATTAAATAATATATACTGTTTGTGTGTGTTTATTCAATATTTCTTGTCCAAACCTAAATTCAATACATATTTGTTGCTCTGTATATAGTTTTGAGGAAATATTACGACATAAAGGGTCTTACTCTGTTATTGTTGTGTATTTATTTTACCACTTACAACCATTCTGTATTCAACTTTGTACAGTGAATATCTGTATAACAAGTACTCAGTAAGTAAATGTCTGTCTTAACGATGTTTAAGAGGCATCTTTTCGAAAAATTTGGGTGGCCGTGATAACGGCCGTTTGTGTTTGTTTTAAACTTCTGTCTTGACTGTCAAACTGAATTCTTTAGCCTCCAAATCCGTACAGGGTGCGTCCTTGGCGTTTCAAGGCGTAGACCACGTCCATAGCTGTGACGGTCTTTCTCTTGGCATGCTCCGTGTAGGTTACAGCATCTCGGATCACGTTCTCCAAGAAAACCTTAAGAACTCCACGAGTTTCCTCGTAGATGAGACCGGAAATACGTTTGACACCACCACGGCGAGCAAGACGGCGTATGGCTGGCTTGGTGATACCCTGGATGTTGTCTCTCAAGACTTTTCTGTGTCGCTTAGCGCCTCCTTTTCCAAGACCTTTTCCTCCTTTGCCACGTCCAGACATGTTATAAGTTCAGCCAGTAGTACTGTTCTGATGAACTGATCATGCGTAATTGCCTAATTTATAGTCCAAATTGAGGACCCGTGAGAGCGCACGATGCTTTGAAAAGTTCGGAACGTTACCAAAGCGGTATTGTGACAAGCTTTACGATTGGTCAGCTTGGCATGATGGGAATGTTTACATTTCTTGCCCCACGGGAATTTTAACCACATTTAATTAATTTTGATTCTTTAATTTCTTCACATATAGGCAAGTTTAGGTTCAATTTATTCACCTAAACCAAAATATTGGTACGTGGAGGTACATATATACATTTTATACAAACTGATATACAAAAAAAAAAAAAAAAAACATGACAGAAAATGAATAAAAATGATAAAGAGAGAGAGGGGAATTATATCAAGCAGGACAGACAGCATCATAATTTTTTAGGATAAACATACACAATTTTTTGTTTTGTTGTTGTTATTTTTTTATTTCA